TGTCCCTCATTAACATGATGGAAAGTCATTTTTTGGGTCCTTTTCCCACTGCCACCCCTCCAGCCTCCTGTCCTGGCTGGGGGGCACACTCTGGGTGGCTTCTCCCTGCATAGAAGGCAGCCTGTCCCCCCTGCAAAACAGGGGCAGGGAAGAGGCCATGCAAAATAAAGAATCTTTTGGCCATGGGGACAGCACCACAGTTGGCCACAGGGCTCGTAGGACAGCGGCCACAGTGCTGGAGGACTCTGGGTACCAGCAGCTTCCTGTGGCACCTCGGGTGGGTAGGGACCAGGGGCTTCAGGGAAGGAGTGACACAGAGGATTTGCTCCTTGTGCTGGAGCAGCTTTGGGGAACACTGAAATGTCCTTTGGTGGGATGGAAACAACCACACGAGCCCGGTTGCTCTGCAGGTCCCTGTGATGAAGGGAAGGGTATGTAAATGTGTATGGCCATTGCCATGGCTACTGTGAGAATCCTGGGGAGGCAGAGCCCCTGGCCAGCCTTGTGCCACTGTCACATCCCCAGCACAAGCAAGGGACAGTGATCCCTTTTATGGCACCGGCTGCCCCATGGCAGCACGGCCTGAGCACTGCAGCCTCTCACCAACACAGGTGCACCCCCAGCCTGGTGATGGCAGAAAAGACCCTCACAGGAGGGATGTCCCTCTGGTGCCCTGGCCAGGTCTTGTCATGCAGCAGCAGAAAGCAGCAGCTGCATGAAGATGGGCATGGGAATGCCCAATGTGCCCATGACCCTCCCACCCCAGGTGCACAACTCCCAGCCCACCTCCCACCAGGCTAAGGAGAAGGAGGCCCTTCCCAGCAGCTCGTTTTTGGCTGATTCCATAAAGCTGGGAGGGAAAAGGGTCTCCCCCGTGTGGAGCATGTGGAGCCTCCCTGTCTGCAGCTCTGGTGAGTGCTGTGGGTACTTGGTTTTGGTGGGGTAGGCTGTGCTGTGGGGTAGGCTGTGTCACACACCAGTGTGGCTGTCACAAGTCCTGGCAGGAGCCCTTGCTGGGCATCTCAGGTGCTGTTGGGGACACAGGAACAGTGCCTGTGCATGAGCTCTGTGCCTGGGATGTGCCAGGTGGCTGCAGCTGCACTGGAAGGGTGAAACCCACTGGCATCCAAGTGCTCATAACCCAGAAGTTCCTGGTGACCCATTGTGTGCCCATCTCCTCCCCTGTGGCATGGGCAAAGAGGATCTAAAGCTCTGTAGAAGAGACAAGTTGCTCCTATAAACCAAGAAATGAGGGAAGGAGGAGAACTGAGCCTGCTCCCAGTGTTCCTGGCTGTGGGCAGCACTGCCAGACCCTGCCCTTCTGGGTGCCCGAGCCCCTGGGGCACAGGGACCCCTGGTCCCACAGCCTCTCCCTGCCCGTTCCCGGGTCTCTCCACAGTCCGCGGGCTCGGCGTGCGAGGCCAGGCTCTGTCTGCTGTTTCCTTATAATTTAAAAGCCTTCCTCACATTAATCTTTTTATTTTTATTTTGACAAATGTATGTTTCCAGGAAGTTGCTGAGGTCAAAGCAGCATCTGTTGCTCGTTATTTTGGGGGATGCAGAGGGTCTTTGTGAGGGTTTCCAAAGCAACAAGGAATTAAGTGGTTTGTAAAGTGGAGAGGAGGAATGAGGAGCAGGCTGGGGCTTCCCGAAAGGCGGCTGAAGATGCTGATGAAAATCAGATCAACTCAGCTCTATTTTCTTGGAAACTTGATCTATTTTTCTTGTACAACTGTCAGCCTGACTCCCGTATTCCAAGTGCTTGGCCACTGCCAGCTCCACGTTTCAGCGCTGGGATTAGCGTGGCCCCGGTCAGACTCACTTTCCCCGGCTCGTGCCGGGCGCTGCAGGACGGGAGTGGAACTTTCGGGAGTGGCAGTGCGTGTCCCCTGGTGTGGCCCTGACTGGGGACACAGGCCAGAGACCCCTGGGATGGGCACCAGGCCACTGTCCCCTGCCTGAGGGCTGTCCCTCACCCCCCAGACTCACGCCATGAATTGCCCAGTGCACCCCACAGGTGGCCTGTAGCCAAAAGTGCTTTTTCTTTCAAAACAAGCTGAGGAGAGTCTGGTGCCAAGGCGAGGGCTGCAAGGAGCCCAGGAGATTTATCGCTGAGGAAATACTTTCTCCAGTGAGGGCTGACGGCCGCAGCAGGAACAATGGGAGATTCGCAACGTGAACAAAGCTGATTTCGTTCTTCTTTTTATCAATGCTTTTTCCTTGCGGATCCTCCCTTCCTGGAAGTGGGAGATGCAGCTTCCCCCGCGCGCCGGCCGTGTAATCAGCAGGAATGGCCATATCCTGGCTGGGAAGCGAGCTGTGAAACGCTGTCGCCCGCACTGATTTATGAGCCCGTGGCAGCGGCCAGCGGCGGGGCTGGCCCGGGGACAAGGTGCCAGGGCGCGTGCAATATCCACGTATTCTTTCTGCTCCTCGCCGGGTCCCCGGGGAGCCGCCGGAGGAAGTTAATGGATTAGACACACACGTTCCACTTGATTTTTATTTTTTATTGCCATGTCTTTCCAAATGCCTTTAGCAGATGTACGAGCACAATGGAGCCGGGCGATGAGCATCCCGGCCGGGCGGGCAGCGGGGCAGCAGCCAGGCTGGAAAGGTCAATGGGGCGAGCGCTTGCGTGGGGACACCAGGACAGCCTGTCCTGGCGGGTACAGTCCTGCCCCACCGGGGCCGTGCTCGGCACCGGCTCCCGCTGCGGGCAGCCGGGACAAGCGGATTGCAGCTCCTCCGCAGCCGGTGCTGACCGACACCGGAGGCCGCACAGCCCCTGGCCCGCAGGGTCACGGCCGCGGCGGAGGCAGCCGGTGCCGAGCGGGTCTCTCGGGATGTCCTTCCCTGGGGGCTCACGCCTGTGGAAGTGGATGGTTCCACCGCCAGGCTCACACTTCTGCCGCATTATGCAATCTTCACCCGATTCTGGGAATATGAAATAATTATTCCAAGTGATCAGATTTTAATTATGCAACACAGAGGATGATTATTGTACACCAAATTGGTGCCGAGTGCTTAGTTATGTATATGCCAAATTTAGTCTATACTATTATACCCAGTGGGTGGCCGTAGACAATCAGGAAGTAATTAGTTTTGCTGGAGGTTGTTCGCCTGCCTGGTTCGCTGTGCTGTCTGGGGAGCGTCTTGCTGCGCTCCGTGAATACCGCGGGCTCCGAGTTCAATACCGTCTTTTTGTGACAAGCTAATAAGCTGTCTGCATGGCGGCCTGTAATTAGCGCTGTCGATATTCATTTGGAAGCGGAGACCGCGCTGAGCGGCTCCGCCGACGGCGCTTCCCTTTGTCGCGGCTCCGGGCTGGTCCCCCGCCGCCGCCCGGGAGGGCGATGGGTGCGCGGGGATGGGGATGGGGAACGGAGGCGCTCGCGTGTGAGCGGCACCCTCGGGTCCCCGCTGAGCAGAGCACCTCAGCACCAGAGGGTGCTGAGCCCCGGAGAGCAACACGGCCCGTCACCCACTCCTGTGTCACCCCGGCCTTGTCCTCCACGAGGGAGCTGCCAGGTGTGGGATGTCCCCAGGGCTCTGTCCTGGAGGGCTGAGCTGGCATGACCTGCAGCGTCAGGGGGACGGGGACATGGAGGGGGCTTGGGCTGGGTGGCCACCCCCTCCTCAGAGTCGTGGGCATTCGGGGAACCCTGAGCATCATTGGGGTGTGCTGAGGAGCTGCATGTTTGCACCTTTCCAGGCAGCCTGATCCTGTGGGATCTGGGCCCTTCCATGCAGGTCTCACGTGCAGAATTCCTGATGGGCCTGGGGCTACATGAGCTGTGAGATCACTGGAGCATCACCCCTCCGAATAGTGTTTGCAGCTGGTCAGTGTTGTGGGGGCACGAGGAACCGTCCACTTCTGTTGGAATGGTCTGGATCTGCCGGGTGGGAATTGTCTGAAGTATGGAGCAACTTTTACCTCTGTTACACAAAGGAAACTTTCCTCCTCTTTCTGTCGGAGATGCTCACTCCATTGAGATGATTGGCATACTGGAGAGCTGAGAAACTAAATTGTTTATACACTAATGAATAGAAGCTTGATTGCAAGATCCTGTTTGGAAAATTATAGTGCTGAATTGAAGCCGTACAATTACATCCAAAATGCTGCATATTCATTTCATCTGCTTTGCATAGAGATTAACAAGCGAGCCCTAAAGCAGACTCTGAAATTAAAGCTAACACCAGATTTAGTCACAGGTTACAAACTAAATGGCATTGTTTGATGGATATGAATCTTTACCACCTGCCTGCCTGATGATTGCTAGCAGCTTAGCAGACAGCAAAGGAAAAAGTTTCTTCCCATGAAGGAAGCATAATAAGGCTCTGGGCTGGAAGTGCCCCCTCCCCACGCAGGCAGCCCCCTGGCAGATGTCTGCAGTGGGCCTGGGGAAGGGGCTCCCTGCTCCCCACTCTGCCATGCTGGAGGCTGCACCCCTTCCATGGAGGGATGGAGAGTGGTCCTGAGACCCCACGGAGGTTCTGGGTGCTGGGCCCCTCCATTTGGGCCTCCCATCCTGCACGGGGGAACAATCTCACAGGGTCCTTGTCCCTCCTGGAGTCTCTGAGCTGAATTGCCCCTGGATTTCCTTCCTCACCTAGCAAGGGTCAGGAGTCTGCAGAGGGCAGGGGTGTCTTGCCTGTCCTGGCTGCAGGCAGCCCTTGGGGTCCCAGTGCTCTGGCATGCCACCGGTCCCATCCCGTCCGGCTTTGCCATCTGCATTCTCCCGCCCTCCATCCTTTGTGCTGTGGCCAGGATTTATTTCACCAGTAAAAACAGGACCAGGAAAGAGCAAAAGGAGTGTGTGGGAAGTAGGCCCTGCCTGGTGGTGCCCATCCTGGCAGGGGCTGCTCAGGGAGCAGCTCAGGGGCTCAGCCATCATTCCCTGCAGGAATCTTTCCTCTTTGGGAATACCCAGGAGTTCCCAGCCCACCCCACAGGCTCAGGACCTTGTGTGCATGGGCCCCATGGGGCAGAGACATGGCACTGGCTCTGCAAATCTGTTTATTTTTTCTTTAAAAGTCCATTACCATACTGCAGTGTCCTATGGAGGGGCTGGGCTGCCGCTACCACACTATGGGACAGCCCAGCCGAGCTTTACAACCCCTGGCCCGGTCCCCAGCCCCCTCCCAGCTCTGCCCCTGCCATGGCCGGCTCTGGGTGCATGTCCTGTGCCCCCCTCTCCCTGCAGGAGCAGCACCATGCCAGGGACAGGCAGCACGGCTGCTCCAAGTCTCCGTTCCTGCTTGACACTTCCTAACTCGACTCTCTGACACTTTCTCAACACCCTCTGACAAACAACCAATGTGGGTGAGCATCACCCCGCTTCTTCCTTAAACCTTAACTCCTCCCAGGACACTCACATTACTGAGACCAAACCCAAACCACACCGTAACACCCTAAAATCAGCACAAGGAGCAGCCCCCTGCCTGCAGTCACCAGCAGCTCGGGGGGCATGAGAGGGCTCTCTGCCCTGACCCCAAGACATGGGGTGCACCCTTCTTTAGGGGGTCACTCCCACTGCTGCAGGCTCCCAGGGCCAGCCCTGCACCCATCAGTGGCCTCAGAGCGGTGGCCCAGCCTGTGTGGGCAGTGGGTGCTGGGAGTGGGAAAAGGCACCTATGGAGGCAGTGGTGGCTTCACTGCGTGGGGACACAGTGGTGGGGCTGCTGTCCCCAAAGCAGGGCTGGGCACAGCATGGGGCTGGTGGACATTGGCAGCTCTGCACAGACCCAGCGTGGTGGCAGTCTGGGACACACCCTGGGGAGCTAGGCAGTGGAGTGTCACCATGGCTGTGCTGCGTGGCCCTGAGTGGCCCATGGGTGGCAGCTGATGAACCAGAACAGCTTCTTGTCCCACAGCGCTGCGCCAGGCCCTGGCCAGGGCTTCCACCCTTCAGCTCCCTGGGAATTCTCTGCTGTGAGCATCCCTGGCTGTGTGAGCAGGGACAGGATGGCAGTGTGACAGCAGTGTGAGCTGGTGCAGACCGAGGCAGGGCTGGCCAGTCCCATCCTGTGGGGTGGCCCTGTAGGTGGTGGGGGAAGCCATTATGTGGGACAGGGACAGTAAAGGGACCTGTCTCGTAGCCTGGGCACAGGGACCCCCAGTCCCAGCGCGGGGTTGTGGACGGAGCTGCTGGGGCTGCCAGCCACCAGCTACCACCAACTATGGCCCCACTAAGAGGGAACTCTGCTGGGCCCCAGAGCAGTGTCCAGCTCATCTTCGGAGAAGCTGATGTGCAAGCAGGTGTCGTCTGCAGGGGAGAAGGGCAGTGAGCTGTCCGTGGGGCTGCCCAGGGCCACTAACTCCTTGGCCAGAGTCTCGCTGGCTGTTGGGTCATGGATGCTGGCCAAGGGGGACATTGGCCCACTCTCTCCAGTCCTGTCCTTGCCCAGAGCGTGCTGGCAGGTCCCAGCAGAGCCAGGCTCCATGCTGGAGGCAGCGCTCCTTGCAGGAGTCCTTGCCTCAGGGTCCAAGAGGGTGAGGGAGCTGGCAGTGATGCTGGTGAGGCTGGAGATGCTGGCACTGGGTAGGCTCAGGTGGGCAATGCTCTCGGGCTTCACCTCCACTTCCAGGCTTGGCGAGGTCTTGCTTGACCTTTTGCGTAGGATGGGTGGTGGTGGGTTGAGCTTGGGAATGGGCGGCTGCCGCCTGCGGAGGGAAAGCAGAGAGGAGATGATGGGCAAGTACTTCCCTGCAGCACTTGGGGTGTTCCCTGCAGCTGGCAGGAGCAGGGGTGGCACACTCTACCTGTCCTCGTCCCCTCTGGCCATGTCGTCTGCCTTGTGCCGGCTGCTCCCGTTGGGCAGAGCGAAGTCGCTGACCTCGGAGCCCTCCACGCGCCGGCTGAGCCCATCCTGCCCCTCCAGACACTCGTCCCCCTCCTTGCTGCTGCAGCGGTGGCTGCCCCTGTCCAGGCTGACGAGGTTGAGGTAGGAGTCCCTGGGGCCCAGGGAAGGCAGCGAGCCGGGGGCCACCGGGCTGCCCAGGATGCTGGCAGGGGTGGAGGTGGACGGCAGGTGGACGTCCAGGCTGTAGTGGTTCTTCAGGTTCAGGGAGAGGGACTGGGCCAGGGACAGGTTTTGCAAGGAGTGGTCAACTGTAGAGATGGATAAGAGGCACATGAAAAACTGAGTATCTCCAAACCAGCTGCTTCCCTGCACTGTGAGGGATGCAGAAATGCCCCAGACCCCCAGAGCCTGCTGGGATGGTACTGGGAGCAGTCCAGTTGTTTCTTATGACTGCAAGAAATGCAGTGATTATCCAGAGGGATGGAGCTGGGGGCATGCCAGCACCCAAACAGCCCCAGTGAGTGTGTCACATTCCTCACCCGGCTGCCGATGCTCATCCCGGTGCTCCTCCCGGGCCTCCAGCACTGTGAGCTGCCGCACCAGCAGTGACACGTGCTGCAGCAGGTCGCGGTTGGTCAGCAGGAGCTGTCGCACCCGGGCCTGCGCCTCGATCCGTGCCGCTGTCTCGGCCGCCAGTTGGTCCTTCAGCAGCTGCACCTGCGAGATGGGCCGGGATGGTTCGGGCCGGGATGGTTCGGGCCGGGATGATGCGGGTTGGGATGGTTCGGGCCGGGACGGTTCGGGCCGGGACGGTTCGGGCCGGGATG